ATATGGTCCTGTGATCAATTGCTGCTAGCTTGAAGCTATTATCTCCTATCGCTTCAATAATCAGGGTTGGTATCAGATCTCCTCAGTTGAAATTTTACTGCCCTCCAGGACCTGCCCTCAAGAATCCCACACCTTGCACGATCATCTTAAACAGTTACTGTACCTCCGGTAMAGAATCGCACGTTGATCGTGCCGTATTCATTAAGTAAAGAAGTGGTAGCACTGTAAAACCAAAAGGCTCTATTTTGTTCGACAGACGAAGCGCGCTGGCGCGCCTCGATGCAAATTACGTACATCTAATTCATTGATTTTGGAACTCRTTCAGTCCTTCCTACTGTATTTTTTATTGAAATTGTTTTTTTCTAAATTCTTTTTGTGAATCGGTCAAATCAAGCCTGTGCATACGATCTCAATTGGGACGGCGTTTGCTATTATACAAAAGAGCAAGCACTTGGTTGGTTTTGACCTAGACAGCGCCATCAAAACTGGATCGATAAGGTCTTGACGCTTGTACAAACGAATGTTGAAGGCGCTTTACCTTTCTCGAAAGCAATCTCGAAAGCTGCAACGACCAATGGCGCGTATGTTGTGCCGAAAGATGATGATTGATTCGAGATGCTCCGAACGTGATGCTAGTAGGATCGCCAGCTCCATGTTTTGTCTTGGGTGAATCCCATTGGGATGTCTTTTGGGTTCATTCTTCCGAGGGWAGAAAAACTATCGAAAGTCGTCGCCATACAAAGTAATGGATCGCGATTGAAGTGAGAATCTGATGTTCGGTGAACGTGTTGGGATTGCAAGTCGATTCAACGAACGCGACCTAGTGTTCTGCCGTTCCGTTGGTGGAGCAAACACTGGGCACATCTACTCAAAAATATGTTCGGATGTATGTCACTGACTAACTTGAAGAAAAGTTCATTCGGGATGGTTTGTACTCTTTACAAATACTATATTGTCTTGAAATGGCTGCAACTCTTGTAGAATTCTTAGTGGCTAACTCGATTTGTTTAGCTTTTCTATTTCATTTACATTATACGTGTAGATGATTGTATTGTCATTTTTGACTTGTTCTTAAAATTGGGCTCAATTGCATCGATTAAGATCTAACAATCTCAGTACTAAAATAGCTCATGCTCAACCGATATCGCCATGTTTAACTTTCATTGCGTTTCGTTGCATTATAACTTCTTTGGTTTGAAGACCTTGTAGAGGACAGCATCGATCAACCCCAGTGTTGTGAATGTTCCTCCAATGATGGCACACAAACTCGTTAGGTAATCGTACCATTTTCGTCCCTCCTTTTCGACGACAACACTCATCGGACTAAGATCGTACGAGAACCGGGCCTCTGGAACGTTTGTCTCATCGTAATAGACGATCTGGGATTGTTCCAAAAACTGGTAGGTGAGCATCTGGTTCGCCAGCGCGGTTCCCATGTTCAAGTGGGTTGAAACGACCTTGATGTAGTGGTGGTAAGCCTGGTGAAACTCCTTCGTCACGTACAAGCTATCGTCCATGGGATTGAATTGACGGTGGTCCTCGGGGACCTGTTTCAATATTCGCTTGGCGCGACGAGATTTCTGATCGATGGGGTCTCCGAAGCTCAAGTGGTTCACAATGTGGGTCAGGTTTGTCATGGCCGAGTTCAGGTTGTGGTTCTTCGATTTGGCTTCGATGTGGAAGTTTCCGGGGACACGATTGACCATCAAGTGGCCACTGACCTGGCAAGAAGGGTGTTCCGGYCGGTTCTGCGCGAAAAGTTTGCGTTTCTTGTCGATGGCTTCGTTCGATTCGCCACGRTCAACGGCGCCCTTTTCCCAGTCCTTGAATTTCTCGTTCATTTCCAATTTGCGCTTGGCAAAGCCGACCATGGCCTGGACGGTTCGATCCATTTTGTATTCCGGAGAGATTGGCTTTCCCATTTCGTACCAGCGAAGGGTAGGGAATGCCATGACCTTCTGATCCCGACACAAATCAGCCTGTACCATACAATCGACCTTTCCAATACCCACGGGCATGTTCAATTTCTTAACCTCGACGGCAAGCTTTTCCCATGTAGGGTGGAGCCTTTGACACCAAACACACCAMGGTGCGTACATATCTACAAAGGCCATTTCATTTTCTGCCAAGAAGCCCTTGAAACTATCGTTGGTCAGTTCGACTGCGTGGACTCCGTCCTCTTCGTGCATCTCTTCGAGGGTGCGATCGTGTTCCTCGTGCCGAACCTCGCGCTGTTCTCGGTTGCGTCCGCTGAAAAGCCGGGTGTTACCGTCTTCCGAAATTTGCCATTTCTCTACGTTTTTTGTGACGTTTTGGCGGTTCGTCCCGAGCGCATCCCACACATCCACCGAGACGTAATCGCAGTGAACATCTAGCATGGTGATGTTGAAATTCAGCCGCAATYGGGGCTGCGAGTTTTCGTCCAGGGTAATGGAAGTGGCAATTTTCGTACGGGCAAAGGCAGCTGTTTCGCTGAAGAACAGGATCCCCATGATACTCAATGCAACCAAGGACATTGCCGCACCTAGTGAGGTTGCCTRAAGACACCACAAAATAGAAACAGCAGACCAAAAACGCCAAGTTAAGACGGAGCAACAAAACATGTCAGACCAATAAAATATTCGAACGGATAGGACGTTGAGAACGAAATCTTTCAAYGAAAAGTGATTCGCTCGTTCTTATCAGTTGCAAAGAGACGTAGGAAAATCCTCAACCGCCCGCACCACGCACCTCTGTTAGATCCTTTGGCACCCGGCGATAAAAATCCACCGAAGAAAGTGCGTTACGGGAACGGCCCCCGCCATTAATATTGTTGCTCATGATCGTGTGGATAAAATATTTCGCTAGTCAACACTAGTGTACTGAGTTCGGCAGAATGGGATGAGATTGTTGATGTTCGAGGCGGGAGTTTTCGAGAATCGGCAATGGGATAAAGACCAAACAACAACGATGACCCGTCGAAAAAGGCTGGAAAGCAATCGTTTTCGACGAAACAATACCGAGCCAGCTCCCTCTAGTTTCGGAGTACGTACGTACCGGTACGAGTACTCGTACTTTCCGTACCTCTTAAGCTTTTTGAAGGGTCATTACTCTATGAATTCATTCATTGCGCGCGCAGTAAGCAACTATCCTGACTTTTTGGCCTTCGCCCACTTTTCATCATACCTATGGTATGTACAATCAGTAATACTAYTTGTCATAAGTGTGATTTAATACCGTACTACGATACGTACCTTAAAATATTTTCGAAAAAAGTTAGCTCTCTGAAAGTACTTCGTACTACGGTACGGTACTGTAAGTAATTTATGAAAATATTATATTCAGTACAATAGTTTGTTTCTATTCCGAGCTGAGAAAAAGTTTAGACGAAGAAGCTCTGATATGTATTATCATCGGAACTGTTACTCAATGGAATGTTGCTATAGCGGGTAATCGACTCGGGCCAAGAGTTCTCGGATGCGTTGCCGAGAATACCGGTGCCCCCGCTCGGCGGCTTTGTAAAACAACGGAACCGCCTTTGCCACGCTCCGCTCCGTCCCTTCTCCCTCGACCAGGCAATCCGCAACCATGTAAAGGGCGGCCGTGTGGTCTAGCCTGGCGGCGCGCTCGAACAACGCAAAGGCCTTCTCCGGATCCTCCTCCACGACCCCATCGATTCCGGTGTAGTACACGGTTCCAAGTTCGTACATGGCTTGGGCCGCCGAGCCGTCTCCGTCTTCCGAGGAYGCCATGGCCTTTTCCAGCCACGAAAAGCCTTGCAGTTCTTGGGGCGGCACCCCCAGTCCCTCGATCAGAATGATCCCACAGGCCACCATCGAGGGCGTGTGTCCCTGCTTGGCGAGTTTTTCGTACAGCGCAAATCCCGCTTCCGGATCGACGTTGTAAAAAACCAAGCCCGTGGCCATGTCAAAGAGCAGCTTGTAGCAGTGGGCTGYCCCCYCCGCTTGTTCGTCGTYGGCTTGGTTGGTGCCGCTCGCGTAGTTCCTGGTCGCCAGCTTGTCGTTGCAACCCAGTTTTTGGATTTCGGMAACAATCGCTYCCAGTTGCTCCGAGTTTGGTTGGTATTCCGGCCATGCCCGTGCGGGAAGATCCCTCCAGCCATCCTCGTCTCGTTCCCACCGCCGAAGCATTTCGTCCTTGATCAGCCTCAGCTTTGAGATTTCCTCTCTCGTGTTCATTTTTCGAAGGTTGGTAGCCACTTTCAGGGCCGTTTTCTTGCGCTTCAGCTTTGCTTCCTTTTTGTGGGGAGGTTCCCCGTCGCGGTTTTCGCTCTTGTAGCTGCTCTCGCAAAGGGCCGTTGGCGCCATCGATTGCTGGAACCGAACCAAGCCGTCGCCGAAACCGTGKCTGGCGTGGTCATCCCCGCTGTTTTGAATCGTGGCGGCCCCGCAGAATCCWAAGRTCGCCGTCGCTGTTGCCAAGACCGCCAGGGACACCGTCGAAGGATYCAGAGACGGCTCGTTGTGTTGGAAMCTATTCGACGAAGCCGACGCACCTGTTCTGATGCCAGCGATCCCTCTGCTGCGAAGGATGCGGCGAGCAAAAACACTCGATCGCCAAACCATTTTAGAAGGTAGGGATCGATTCACGAGCCTGCTCGTTCGTCCCTAGCAGCTTTCTCTTTTGAGTCACAAGGCAGATTGCCTTCTMTTTTTAGTCTCGGGTGTAACGATGCAGAGCAGATCCGCATTCGTCGTCGGTTTTGTTTCTCTCTCTGCTGACGATCTTTGCTGTCGCGAGATTGGGATGAGCGTTTCCTGTTCTCGTTTTCTCGAATCATCGAAGATTTTTACTTTTCACGTAGCATTGGTACTCGTAGTACAGTACCACTGTATGATTTCTGCTTACTGCAGTAACGGTAGCCTACGGTACGGCCAGAAAGAACCGCCGGGCCTAGCTCAGTTAGGTACGTTGTACTACCGTACCGTAGAGAGTCTAGTTTCTCTGTGTTTCTGATGGGTAACTCATGAACGGGGGWGATGAATGATTTGGGGGCACAATTATTGTACAGTAGCACCGTAATCGTCTTCTCAGCGTACATAATGGTACGATGGCTACGGACGTGCGTTCCCAGTTAGCATCCCAATTTTCCACGATGACTACGGTATGCATAAGTCACCTATGTACGCTACGGTAGAATACCGTTCTTGACGTTCGTACTACCTCTACAGGCGCTCTGTCTCGGTTCCATAACTTAAAACCCCTCACCGCAACGACCACCCATTTTCATTCTCTGACATCAAAAACGCTCTGCGTCGCTGGAGTTTGTATTGTACATGCTTGAATTAGTACTCGTACCGTGCCGTACTCGTTCTACTACAAAAGTACGCACGACACCCGCGTCAATCCAAAGATTTTTTCGGTGTTCCTCGTTGATGGGTGTTGCCCCTGACGGAAGGTTGGTGTTGACTGCTACAAAACAAAAACAATTACGGTACGCACCCATCCGGCTTCGCAATCGCAACGAAGCACGAGCAGTTCACAGGAAGAAAGCAAGGCTTCCCGGTCATCCCGCGTCTTCGGTGCAGGAGATTCCAGACTCACCCGGCGTGGATCGAACCAATCTCGTTCGCTCCTTTCGCACACCACCACACACTCACGCGTGCACGCACACCGCGGGATTTCCCCCGGAAGCGCCAGATGAGGAGCCCCGCCACAGGGATCCATTGCGACCGCACCCCGGCATCCCGAACGATGGTCGCCCTGGCGGCCCTCGCCGTCCTGGGCTGCCGCCGCGCCGGCCACCGGCTCTCCGGCCACGGAAGCCATTCCCTCGCGGCGGCCCTCGTCCCCGCCCAGACCCGCCACGGGCCGGGCACCGCCCGTGCGGTCCGGCTCTTTGCAAGCGGCCGGGCCGGCTACGACGACGCCGGGAGGCGCGTTCGGGGCCAAGTGCGGTCGTCGTCGGACGGCTGGGGAGACAGCGAAAGCGAAGATGGCTGGGGAGCCCCGTCCCCGGGCAGGGGCGGGGGCGGAAGGACCAGCAGCAGCAGCAACAACAGGAACGACTTTGATTCCTGGGACGACTTTGACCCCTGGGACGACTCGCGGCGGCAGCAAACGCCACAGCGGCGGAGGAGGGACGACTTTGACGATTTCGGCGACGGCGATGGCGGCGACGACTGGGGTGCTCCCAGGGAACGGCCGAGGCGGCGGAGGAACAACGACTACGGCGGAGGCCGGGAGGATGCCCCCCGGCGGGATCGCCCCGGGAGGGACCAGCGCGGCGGAAGAGGCCGCGGCGGGAGGGGCCGCGGAGACGGACGCGGCGGAAGGGGCCGCGGCCGGGGAGGCAGGGGCGGCAAGGCCGACGAGGCATCGTCCGCGCGCTCCATCAACATGAACTCCCTGGAGAGGGCCGGCTTTGTGCACCTCTACGGTCTCTCGTCGGTCCTCAACGCCCTTTCCACCGGCCGGAGAGACATGGCCACCAGCATGGAAAAAACCGAGCGKCCGGACGACCCGCGGTTCGACGACCTCGACGGCGGGTGGGACGCCTTTGGCGACGRCGRCGACGACGACGGTGGCGACGATTTTGGTGCCCCCCGCCGATCCACCCGGAGAGAGRCCCCCGTCAAACCCGAGGCCCAGTTCCGTCCCTATCTGTTTGTGCAGGAACGAAACCGCAGCAGCGGGAGCGATCGCCGCGGCAGCAAGGCCTCCGCGGCGCAGGAGGTACTGAAACTCGCGGAAGAACGCGGGGTCCCGATCGCCTACGTCGACAAGGGCATCCTGAACGTCTTGTCCGGAAACCGCCCGCACCAGGGATTTGCCCTCCGGTGCGGCAAGCTCTTCTTCGAGAGCCTGTCGAGGATACCGCTCCCGACCAATGCGAGAGGAGGGGGCGATCCCGCGGCGACGTCCTCGCCTCCCCTGTGGCTGGTCCTKGACGAAGTGGTCGATCCGCAAAACCTAGGTACGTAACCAAMTTTCACCAACGCCACCAACAACACCGGTGCAATCGATTGCCCGGATTCCMGTTTCGTTCCAAACACGGGGRTTGTTGGGCAAGTAGCAACGAACCAAATGATTTACAGTCATTAAACCAAGATCTGTTCTGAGCACATTCTGATGAGAGTTTGACCCTATTTATGATGGTTCCCCGTTGCCACTGCTGCAAAACGCGCAATGGTTTTGTCGTTCTGCTCGACACGGAACAAAACGAAAACCCAGCTCACAACCATTTTGTTTKCAAACGCGCCACGGCATCTTCCCCCGCAATACGATTGCATTTCAGGTGCCTTGCTCCGTTCTGCCTTCTTTTTGGGAGGAAAGAAGAACAASACGAACATCGGAGTCCTGGTGTGCTCGAAAAACTCCGCACCCCCCAGCCCCGTGGTCTCCGCGTCGAGCGCGGGTGCCCTCGAGGTCGTGGACGTGCACAGCACGTCCAACCTGCCCCGGACCCTYAACCAGGCCAGGGAGGACGGCTTTCGCGTCATTGGTGCCTCGATTTCGGTCCCCTCCCGGAGCGGCGATTCTGGCGGCGACCCACCCCCGCTGTACGACCTGCAGGATCTCCCCGTCCGGGACGCCGGCGGGGACGACCGGCCGATCCTCCTGGTGCTGGGCTCGGAGGGCCACGGGCTGCGCACCCTCGTGGCCAAGGCCTGCACGGAATTCGTGTGCATTCCTTCCGGGAACCCGGGCCCCGKGGACGGCGGCGGCGACACCGAAGCGGGGGTCGACTCGCTGAACGTCAGCGTGTCCGCCGGCATCATGCTCTGGCACCTCCTGCACGGTGGAAAGCAGTGAAACGGCCCGCCCAGCGCGGTGCTTCGCTCTTCGAAACGGTTCGAACGAATCGTCTAGTTAAAAAAAACATTGCTATTACCACTCGGTTTCTGAACTACTTCTAGACTAGTGTTCCGCGCCGCCCTTGTGCGTTTCGATAAATATTTTACAGTAGGTTGGTGCTCAACGGAATCGGCCCACGCCACGCCACGCCACGCGCACATCGACGATCGGAAACACATGGGCAACCCCGACGACCACCGCCACTTCCTACGGTTCCACAGGCGTTCCCTTGACCACCGCCACGTGGGTTTCTTGGACCTTCCCATCGGGCCCCTGCGTGTAGGTCACCGTCTGCTCCTGGCGGGGCCGCTCGTGGATCACGAGCGGCGGCGGCAACAAKAGGCAGCAGGCCCCGGCCMCGGCCCACAGCAACACCGCCGCAACGTTGATCTTGAACCCCCCCGCCCACTTGCACTCGGAGGGAAAGGTGCCGGCCAGATCGGAATTCTTTGCCTCGAGGTACTGGATCACCGGGTTGTCGTAACAGATGCTCGAGTTCTCGATGAGGAGAGTGATTCCCTGCAGGGCACTGGTCAGGAATAAAAGGTACCCAATGATCTTCCAGCTCTTGGACAACGATTTTCCGCAGGTTCCGCAGCACGTTAAAATCAACAAAAGACCACCTACGAGGGGMGTGATGATCGAGAACGCCTGCACGGTTCTCGTCTTGGCATCGAAGGTGTAGTCGAAGCCCTGGTACTCCTCTAGGTAACTGTAGCTGCGGCACGTACTGTACACCAGGGTGCTCCCACCCCACTCGGGGGAATACGGGGCCCTGTACGACCACGGCCCGACAAAGATGACCAGGTCGTCGTTTCCCGACTTTTGCCGAAACATGACGTTTTCGCAGAACGTGTTGGCCGCGGTTCCCAAGACGATGGCCGCGACCGAAAAAATGGAAGGAAGAAAGCCCCGGAAGCAGCTGCGGTTGTTGTGTTGTGTTGTGTTGTGTTGTGTTGTGTTGTGTTGTGTTGTGTTATATTGTATTGTGTCGTGTCGTGTCGTGTCGTGTCGTGTTTGTTCGTGATCAAGGATGGCCGGGGAAAAGAAAGAAAGAAACAATCCCGGCAAAGCAACCGATGCAAATACTGTGAGCAAGGACCAGCAAAGAATCGTTTCGAATCGGGAAATCCGTTGCGAAACATAGCTATCGACTCGCGTTTGTTCGTGTCAAGATACGAAAAACGAAAAGCACCTACGTGAACTTGGTCATCCTCGGACCAGGGAGTTGGGTTTCTTCTACGAYTGGAGCCATCTTGGCAATGAGAGTTTCTGCAATGGGTTGGTTCCGGTTRGAAAGTATTGAAATGTCTGCTCTATGGTTTCTGGGTCGGTCGTGTATTGTTGTCAATCATCCATTGATCATRTTGGTTTCGTAGCGGTACGAGWACGAGTTCTCGTCAAGACACGGGAAAGAGATCACTTCGCGCGAAGCTTGGGGGGAAACCTGTTTGATTTTGAAGATTTCATGGAACAGCTCCAACGCAACAGGACCACTACCAAAGGTACGGGTAAAAGGTACAAGTACCTCGTACTAGTATTCGTAGTTCGTAGTGTTTGAGACGGAAAGCTCGGCTACGTGCGGTACGGTACTACGCTACAGTACGGCCCTTTCTGCGAAAGATTGGAGCTACCAGTATATGTATTGTATGTATGAATAATAGTTATATTAGGCATGGTGATAGTCGAAAATTGAAAATTGGGCTGCTSAAGGGCAAAGCACGGAATAGTTCGTACGGTACGAGCACGTAATGGCTCTATTTTATTACCGTACGAGTGCGTAAGTACGTACCCGTACCGTTCCTACCGTCCGTAGTTTTCTTTTCCGTTTTCGACTCCCCCAAAAAATTCAAACTGGGGTTTGTTSGTGTCATTGTTTTCATGCCAAGAGTTTCCAGAAAGTTTTCTCGGCACGATACAGTTCGTACCGTACCTGGCACCTGGCACCTGCTCCCACTTCCCCCCTCCCAGGCATCCGCATCCCACCCATGGTCGTCGATCAAAACCAAACCCGCCGCCGCCACCACCCCTCGTCGAGGGCGGGAAGACCCCGGGCGGAGGAACGGGGCTTTGGCACCGAGATCCGATCGGGCGGATCGTCGGACACCGAGGACGATGTCAGCTTCAACGGCAACGGCAGCTTCAACGGCAACGGCGACGACTCCCAGCGGCACCGCGAGAGGCGGCGCAAGCAGCGCCGCCGGAGGCGGAGGCGCCGGAAGGGGGACGACCCCCCGTTTTTGGTGCTCTTCTTCCAGGTGGGCGTCGTCCTGCTGATGGTCTGCCTTTCCGCCTTTCACCTCTATCGGTACGCCTACCCGCCCGGGACGCCAGGCGGAGGCGGGGGAGACGACGACTACCTGGTGGATCCCGGGGAGATGGAATACGAGGTGCTGCCGCAGGGGAACGAGGGTGGCGACACCTACCGCAGGGACCAGGAAGTCAAGCTCCGGGAGCTCTTGCGGCCCGCCGAGACCGAGGCCGKGGACGRGSACGAGCACGATCCACCCCAGAACGAAGCRCGGAGGGCCCCGACGGCGGCCCCGACGCAGCCCTTGAACCGAACCATGCCGCCCCTGCCGGTCTTCGACCTCTCCGCGTCTTCCGATTGGGACGCCTTTCGGATCGCCGGTGCGCTGGCGGAGGAAAAAGAACGAAGGACCACCGGACCGTTCTGGAAGGCCGCCCGGGACCTGCGCTCGAACTTTACGGAGCTCTACGGGGGGGAAAACGCCGCCCGGATGCTYCTCGACCGGGGACTCTYCGTTCCGTCGGGAGGAGCCGGGAGCAACAGCAACAGCRRCAGCGGCAGCGGAAACAGCCCCCCCTCCCACGTGGTGGCCACCGCCTGCCGCCTGCACCGCGCCAGGGCCGAGGAGCGGCCGGTCCGTATGGCCTTTGGGGGGTACAGCGTCACCACCGGCCGCGGAAACAAGCACGGGGATTCCTACCCCTTTCGGCTGAAGGAGCTCCTGGAGCCGGTCCTGGCCGCCGCCGGCTTTGCCGGTCCGTCCGGGCCGATCGTGGTCCGGAACGCGGCCGTCGGCGGGATCCCGAGCTTTCCCTACGGGTGGTGCATGGCCGAGTTCTTTGGAGGCSGTGGCAGCCGCGAGGGGGATCCCGCGGCAGCCGTCCCCGACGTCGTCAGCTGGGACTTTGGAATGAACGAGGCCGGCGGGGAACCGGAGGGACTGGAGGCCTACGTTCGGCAACTGATTTCCACCTACTCGTCGCCGCCGCGGGAAGGGCCACCGGTCCTCCCGAAACTCATCGTCAAGGACACCTTTGCSTCGGACCGACGGAGGGACGTGCTGGCCGGGTACGCCGCGTTTCTGACCGACCCGGTCGTCCTGCACACCGACCACGCCGTAGAGCCCGTGTTTGCGGCCACCGGGGGGGCTCCCAGCGGCGAAAACGAAAAGGACGACTGGAAAAAGCCCCCGGGCTTTCGGAAATGGAGGAAGTGGGGGGCCCCCAGGGGGGCTCCCGGGCAGGCCTCCCACCACCCGGCGGTGCAGGAACACAGGCTGAACGCCTGGATCCTCGCGATGCACTTCGTGGCTGCCCTGGAGTACATGGTCGCCATGGACGAGAACGAGAACGAGAACGAGAACGATAACGAGCCCTCCTGGACAGCGGCCTGCTCCTCCGCGCTGGGCGGTTCCGGAGCCGGCTCCGGGCCGTCGGTCCCGCTGCCGCCGCCCGCGTCCCTCGCCAACMRCACGGGATCGGACCGCGACGGGATCTTCTTTGGGCACCCCCTAGCGCAGGGAACCGAGGCGGCTCCCGCAGGGACCTGGGCCATGAATYCGGTCCGGTGCCGGACGACCTTCGAACCAAAGCTCTCCGGCGACCTGACCGAGATCGTCGTCAGCGGGACGATCGGGGAAGACCTGGACCCGGTGCTGCCGAAATCGCAGTTCTACTACAACCAGGGATGGACCTATGATCTGTCCGAGGCGGAAAAGAACGCGAAGCGGAGACTGGGCACGTACCCGGACGGCCTGGGCTTTCGGGATTCCAAGGAGGCCTACTACGGGATCTTCGAATCCCCCCCGCTGGCGCTCCTGCTTCCGTACGAAAGCGGCAACGGGCCGCCCGCGGGCAAAAYACCAGACCTCCCGAGCGCCGGAGACCCYGCTTCCGACTGGTACAAATCGATCGTTCTCTGCCAGGTCAACGACAAGAACACCTTCGACTCGGCGTTTGCGGACGAGAGCTCCTGCAACTTTGCAACGGACGTGGACGTCCGCGTCGGTGGCAAGAACGTTACCAAGAACGCCACCAATATGCTGAACATGGTTGGGAGCACCTACCTCGGAAAACCCATCTGTAAGCACGTCGAGATTCCGCCGGGGGCTCGGTTGTCCTCCCACAACGCCTTGGTCCGCGAGGGACTGTCTCTGAGGGGCAGCGATGCAGTGGTTTCGGGGAGCGACATGGATTCGAAACTGTTGGCGGTGGACCAGGTGGGTCTAGTGGTAGAAGTCTATGTATCGAATCCCCGCGTCGTTCACGTTCATCAAGCTTGTTCTCTCTCCCATGTTGTYTGGGAGGARCAAACGATAATACACACACGACCGAAAAGCAAAGAAAACCGATAGAACGAGAGAGACRGAAAGACGCCGGTGCCATGAATCGGATAGAGATCAACGGTAGATTGTAAACTAAATTGTGCAGTAGCGAGCGAAATGCTTTTGGTGTTCCAATGTTTTTATTTCCTGCGTCTAGTTCGCTACTTTTTTCAATCTTCGACAGAGTCGCTCTCCCCCTTGTCCTTCTCCACGGAAGTAGAATTCGTGTCATTCTCTGGGTTTGTCGTTTTTGTCGAGTTGGCCATTCGTCCCTTTGCGTATGAAATAGAATCCCTRATGACGGGACCAAACGCCACGCCCGCTGCAAACAGCGGCAGTTTTGTGACAGCGGCCGCGCCCAGGGCAGCTGTCGTCACCACGGTAGATACGACRTCCACGGTTCTAGTACTTCGTTCCGGAGTCTCCGAGTGATCTGGTGCAGTGTGGTCATCGGATGGATCATCAACGCCAACAGTAACGTTTGCAAACCCGGCGCTCGTCCCATCATCATTGTCCCTCGCAAAAGTATTTGCTTTGATGTAATCAGCATCGGCAGGAACCTCGATCCATTTCTCCCCCCCTGGCMTGGATTGAATGGTACTGTTGTTGTTTGCGGTTGGATTTTGTGTGTTTGGCGTTTCGATGGGGTTGTTGATATCTTTGAGCTTTCCTTCCACAGGATCTGGTTGCGACGTTTTCGACAGAGTTTCATCGATGAACTCTTCGGCAGTGATTTCGTCTTCTTTTTTTGTGTCSGGTTTGGTATGTGCAGGAGTTATTGATGGCACTGTYTGCACCGCTGATTGCGCTAGGGGCGGTCGCCATCGGGCATTGCCCGTAGGATCAATAAGGATGCGCATAGATTCAAGGCGAGATTGCAGTTGGTCCAAGGGTGTCAATGTTGTTGCTACTGCTTTGGGGACACTTTTTTCGGTACCAGATGACGCAGGAGGCAAAGCACGAACTTGCGACTGGAGTTTCTCGTACAATGCATCGATCCCTCCAACCCATTGCGCGAGTTCCTCCTCCGTGAAGGTGGACTGATATCCAAGAAGAATCTGCTGATCGAGAGCGGAACTTATCTCATCCAGCGTTTCTAGCTCCCTATCATCTTCATCKTTTTGAACCGACTTCTTCCTTTTTTCTAAATCTACTGAGCCTCTTTCATCGAAAACTATATCTGTAATMAGTGATGTCAGCTCATTYTTTCGTAGGGTTTYGATGTCTGTGTTGTTTTCGACGCCTATTTGTCGCGATATTTGGGAATACAACAAAATTGATTCGTCCAGTAATAGATCATGCGATAAATGTTCACTTTCTTGCTCAGATCTGCCGAAGAGGGTTGGAGCACGGGAGAAACGTTTCGGGGAGCCAATGAAGGCGGTAACCACAAACGAATACGTGAATTTATACTGCCGGTAGGGAAGACCGATCGTCAAAAGAGCTACAAGTATGCGGGTAAAGATCATCTCGATGTAGTAGCAGTGGTAGCAGTAAGATTCGTTTTCTCTACGGTACTCTATGTATTATGATGATGGCTTTTGATAACTCTCAAGTTCTAACTGACAGCCGGCGAGTCAAAAGAACAGCAATTAACAATTGGAAGACAACAACGGAAGATGAGTCCGAAAATTCTTTCCACTTCYCAATTCATCGGCTTCCTGAAACTTCCTGAAATTCACCAAGTTGTGCTGGCGTACAAGATTCTGTAGGGTACGTACGGACGCAAACTTGGATTCTTGTGACAGACCCGCTTTGTCCGAGCTACTCGGGATTTAGACTCACACTCTGTGTGTGTGAGCCTAATACACGTAAAACACGTAAAACACTTAAATCACGAGTGAGTAGTGAGTAATTCACCTGCCCCTTTCATGGTTTGTCCGACGTCCGAGAGAGGCTAATGATGATTCCAGTCGTGCTCATATGACGTCAGACTTYTATCGTTTCCTCGCCATCGATCGCATAATTTTTGGAATCAATATGGTGCAACWTACCAGAGTAGTACGAGTAGGGCTCGTACTGCTGTACCAGTAATTCGTACTTTTACTCAATTATTTGTGTCGAATGAATCAAAATCTGAGAATGTTTGTGATGTACCGTACCTGTAGCAAATCGACGATGAATAACAACGAGCGCAAACACTGAAATTCATGACCAGCGCTCACTAATACAGTGAATTAGTGGTCTAGGTCAAGATTCTAGCGGACTTTTAGTCACGCTGTACGTTATAGTGGCTACTCCACCGACGATATCATGGGGAAATCCAAGTCTAAAAAGGGTGGCAGCAAGGGAGCTGCCCCTCCTGCCAAGAAATGTCTCTGTGAACACTTATACAAATGCGATTGCGGGAATCGACCGGAACGTCCTAGTAAGGGGCATCGATGGAATCCCGAGACCCAGGAGTGGGGTGGAAAGGGTCACAAGCAAAAGGGAGGATCCGGTCAAACATCAGTTGTGGGCCAGGAGGCAAAAATCACTGCGAAGGGAAAGACAGAGCTTGCTCAATGGCAGAAACTTCCATCCGGCATTTTGAAAGAGTACTGCCAGAAACAAAAAAGACCGCCCCCGAAATTCAAGGAACTCTTGAATGACAGGCACTCAAAACCAAATAAATTCAAATCTAGAGTCATAGTACCAGATCCGAAAACTAATCGAGACAAGGATCTAATTTTTATCCCAGCAAAGCATGTCGCAAACGAGGAGCAAGCCAAAGAGGAAGCCGCATTGCTGGCATTGTTGCACCTTACGCCAAAACTTCCACACGAACGGAAATTGCCAGAGCCATATCGAACTACATGGATGGCTGCGGTCGAGTCGCTGAAAAATAGTAAAGCAAGTGGCACTCAAAGTGCTGAGACAAATACAGCTATAAAGGGACAAAGCAACAATAACAAGAAAGGCGGCGACAAAGGTAGTCGCAAGGAACCCCTAAAGAATGGAGGTGCCTCTGCCAATACAAACTTGAGCCTTGGTWCCTCCTTCACAAGTTTATCCGAAAAGCGCCTAAATGCTGATCAAAGACGACATGCACGAAACGCAAGAATTCGGAAACACGAAGCTGTCAGAATGGCCAATCGCGATCATCCTGTATTTTTGTCGGCTAGGTTGCGAGAGCAGATTCAAAAAATTCTTCGCGGCGATTTTGCAAGTTTGCTTAACGAAGAGAAGGATGACGAAGATAGTCCAGAACTAGACAYATTTGATTCGGATTTGCAGGCTTACGTCGAAGAAAGACTTCATCACGAAGGATTTACCAAACGACAAGCTAGGACGGCGTTTGCCCAAAAGGGAARAGCAAAAACAGTTGGCGAAGATCAATGGGAGCATATCTACGAAGATTGTTTGCAATGGCTTTGTATCCATCTGGAAGAACACCAACTTCCAGAAGGGTTCGATCCCAGAGGCGCCACTCTGGAAGTCGTAAAGGCTGGCACCAATAGCGATAGTAAGAATTCAACTGAGGCTTTGGCAATCGCCGCAAGATTTGGAATATCTACCAAGGACTCCAATTGGTTATTGCAACAGCAGAAAGAACACAGCAGTCGAAGCTTGGAAAGCTTATTCTGGGAACAGATCTGCAAGATTGCTAATGTCGAATTATCCGGAGGAAATAATGGAAGCGACGAGGACGAAAACAGGGAAGTGGCTGCAGAAGAATTCGAAGCCGTTCAAGCTATGTTCGATTCGGATTGTAAATTCAAACMTGATCCGGGCGGCAAATCCTCAACTCTCACTATCAAACTACCCGAAATGATTGATATACATATGTCATACATTCCCGGGAAATATCCTTCTATGTACCCAAAACACGTTCTTTCGATTGGGAAATGGGAACGGCCCGTAGGGGTTGCCTTTCATGTTGAAATGGCCAAATTTTTGTCGGGCATGACATTGGGAGATCCGATGTTCTTTGAAATTTACGGGGAGCAGCAGAACCTGTTTCAAACCATTGACGAATTACCTCTTTTGCCGCTGTCATCTACGTCTCTTCCAAAATCAATCAACAAATCATCCGGATCGTCAACGCCAACGTCATCGACGTTATTGACGGAGAAAAGCCCTCTCAAGAGGACAGCATTATCAATGAGAAAACGGCCAAAAGCTCGCAGCGTCTTCTGGTCAACTTTACCYACTGAAACAACTCCGGCCACTCCCTTTAATTGGAGCACTTCTATGGAGCGGCAAAGAAAAGCCCTTCCGGCTTGGAAAGCGAGAACTGACTTCTTAACCAAGCTGAAGAAATCAAGCGAGTCTTCAAGAGTAGTGCTTGTAACAGGTGACACAGGTTGCGGAAAGACCACACAAATACCGCAATTCATTCTAGAAGAAAATCCTGACACTGCCAAAATTGTTGTTGCCCAGCCTCGTCGACTTGCGGTAAGTTATAGTGTGGCAATGATGTTCAGTAGCCTGAATTGGTTTTGACAGGAATGRCTCTYATACTCTTSTYTTCCTCTCACTTKAAATCAACAAAAAWAAAAAGGCAACTGGAGTAGCTGCTCGAGTAGCTGACGAACGAGGTGAAACGCAAACCGGTACCGGTAGTGTTGGATACGTTGTACGTGGAGATTCAGCCTTCTGCAAAGATACACGGCTGTTATTCTGCACGTTTGGTATTTTACTGAGACAACTTCAGTCCGAMGGAGCATTGGATTCTATCACTCACATCGTGATTGATGAAGTCCACGAACGAAATTTAGACGGCGATGTACTAATGGGTTTATTRAGAGAAGCGCTTAARACTGTACCTCATCTCAAAGTAATTCTAATGAGTGCTACCCTCGATGCTGACAGATTTGCAGCATATTGGGGGAATGCTCCTCGGATGCACATACCCGGACGTACTTTTCCTGTCGAAGACTTCATGTTGGAAGACGTTCTTGAAAAGACTGGWTATAATCCACCAAAAAAGAAGAGGAAACACGGTGGTTTCAATAGAAATGCTGGAGGAAATAGGAGATCAACAGCATGGAATGATTCGGAAATATCGGATGATGAAATGGAGGACSACCATGAAGACGAATCCACGCTGGAGAAAAATKCTTCTGAAAATAAAGTTAAACAGCCCGAGGTTCCGCTTGAAGAGAGAGTGAAACGCGTTGACCAAACTAGTGTTGACTACTATTTACTTGGTTTCCTTGTGAAATATATTGTCCAGACAAACCAAATGGGAAGTGATGGTTCCATCTTAGTCTTTTTGCAAGGGGTTGGAGAGATTTCACAGGCTCAGACTGTCGTTGCGAATATAACGAAAGGCATGTCAATCTTATTATTGCCTCTGCATGGGTCACTGCAACCTCAAGAACAAAGAAAAATATTCAGGAAAACGCCAGGTCAGGTGAAAGTCATTTTGAGTACRAATGTGGCGGAAACATCRATCACTATTCCCGACTGTACTGTTGTCATTGATTCTTGTCGAGAGAAGCAATCATCTTACGATCCTGTAAACCGAATGCCACTATTGCTCGATCACTTTGCATCGAAAGCATCACTWAAACAGCGTCGAGGTCGAGCTGGGCGTGTTCGAAAAGGAAAATGTTACAAGCTAATCTCGAGAGATACTCACTCAARACTACCAGATCATACTGCTCCTGAGATCAGCCGGTGTGCACTTGATCAGACTCTGTTGTCGTTACTGTTTCTTGGAGCCGAAGACGGAAGTGGGAAWTTTTTACAAAATTTGCTTGATCCGCCCAGTGCAGCATCTGTCAAGTCTGCCGCAWCGAGCCTACAGAAATTGGGCGCTCTAGAGGAAGCGGGACCTGGTAAGCTTATGCTTTCCCCATTGGGAATGCATTTAGCAGGCATTCCGGCACCTCCAACAATTGGAAAATGTAAGTTTTCGATCCATTCAAAGAAGTGGACTACAATTATACGCCACTTTTTCCTCACGTTTTGCTTGAATTGCTCTTCGTTATGTGCAGTACTCATCATGGGGTCTATTTTAGGATGCCAAACAGGTGCACTAGCCATGGCTGCAGGGCTGAGCGTTGGACGATCGCCTTTTTTGAAGATTGATGGACGGTCAAACGATGAGAGAAATCAATCGATTTTGCAAGAAAGAGCAAAACTTTTCGACACYTGTGGCAACAGTGATCATAGTATGATTGCAGCGGCATTCATGAATTGGAAAAAGACGCCAAACGGTGCTGGGAGGAAAAAACGATATTGTGAATCTCTAGGTTTGAGCTTCAATGGAATGAGAGACATAAATCAGCTTGTGCAGCAGTATAGCTCTTCTTTATCTAGATCTGGATTTCCAGCTTCGGTGGAATCTGATAGGAATTCTCAGTCGTGGAGAGTCCTTCGTACGTGTGCCATAGCATCYATGGCTCCAGAGCAGCTGGTGCGGGTGTATCGACCCTCAACAAAGTACGAAGAAACAGCAGAGGGTGCGAAGTTGAAGGAAGGCGAAGCGAAAGGGCACAAGTTTTATATACGAACGGAAGATAGCAATGACACTGAAAAACGATCCGAGGAAAGAGTATTTTTGCACCCGTCGTCGGCCATGTTTTCCGTTGGATCGTATAGCTGCCCATGGCTTGTCTTCCATTCCATGGTTCGGACRTCCAAACCCTTTCTTCGTGATGCGACCGAGTGCAGTTCCTATGCCTTGCTCCTTTTCGGAGGGGCACTTACGGTAGAAGCTCGAAATAGTGTGATTCACGTCGATGGATGGGTTCGTTTRTCAGCAAATGCGAGGATTGSAGCGCTCATCCAGGGACTAAGGTCAAAGATGGACGAACTGCTTCAGAAGAAAATCGAYAAGCCGAACATTTCGATCTCAGAGACACCCGAGATGAAACTAATTGTGAAGCTTCTCATCACTGACGGTCTTGGATAATTCAGTAAGGATTTTCCCACACAAATSATAGAACGAAATGGTATATTTACACTCTTTATTTAAATAGAGTTCTTCYTTTCATTCATATTTTGATAYGAAAACTACTTTGCTTGAAACATTCTCATAAAGATATTCACAACAAAACATWACCTGATTTACTTTCGGTTAGATAAAAAATGCGAAAGAAACTATTTCATCTAGAAACTGGATTACTCTAAATTATATTCTTCCATACTTATTTACCACAACAGTGACGTCGGCACACTAGAAACATTGCTTAGAGAGTTTTAGGCTCGTTGTTAATAGAACAATGCTTATTTCAAAGTAACGTGGCGAGGAGAGGTCCGAGTCTCGAATGAAATCTCWCKGTGCATTTASAACAATTTTGTCAATTTTGCCCTGCTCATCGGATCTGGCTGAACAAGCAGRCGTTCGTCGTCCGTTATTCTTCRACATTTGCCACGGTAAAATATGGGCGAATTAATATWACCTGGAGTGCAYCAATGCACTCATTCTTATTCATWAAATATTAAAATTCTTCACAGTTCTTGGCTACTAGAGAAGACCGATGAAAAATACCTGCCCCCGACYCCAACGATTGCCAGCAACGCAGTTGCCCCGACAAGTATAGCTTTTTGCTTCATTTTGGCAAGCGCTTTCATTCTTGGGTTATCAGGATCAAGCGCATCATTGGGTTGCTTAAGACAGAKTGTTTCCCAATCKGGAAAGTGCRTCGTCTTGAAATGTTCCATGAATCTGAGCAGGTTGGGACARCTCTCCTTCAGATATTTCTTTTGAGGAAAGTCAATGTCGATGTACAGGAATTGAGACAAGTGGCCAAAGACGGTGCAATCAAGGGTCCCAGGATGGGACTGACCGAAGAAATAGACGTGTTGCGACAACAAATCKTCCAGGRCCTTGAGGTCCTCTGAGGTCATGGCCCATACCACAGCCGGGCTACTATAGCGGACAAACCCACGAACCTTTGCTTTCTTCATCCAGCCCYYGGGCATCTTGCTCTTGAATTGATTGTAAATAAAATTTCCCAGCTTGCTTTCGTCTCCCATGAACACCCGTTCTCTCAAYTGGGTAGCCTCGCAAAACTCGGGCATSTTCAGGGCGTATCGAAAGTAAAATCCCGCCTGACTRGTGTGCTCTTCGAGCATCCGAAGRCACGCGTGCCCGATGGCCTTTTGCTCGGTGGTCAGGTTSGCATCGGACCTGATCTCGAACCGGGGGTCCTTCGAGAGCCTGGAAAGGATAGCGTTCGAGTCGGGGATTTCTTCGAAGGACGATTCGTCGCTTTCGTCGTCGCTGCTAAAAATCCGTAAATATGGAATCGTTCCGTTAYTGCCAAAAGAGGTCGTATAGACCTTCTCGTACGGAATATCGTTTGCTCGAAGGAAGCTTTCGGTCTTGAGACCAAAGGGAGTCATCGAATACGATTTCGGTATYGGAGGGAACGTGTAGAGAACTATTTTTGTGTTCGTCGTCATCATGGTGGCCATTTCTTATGCAATTTTGAAGTGTGAGCGATTGTACGTCAACGATCAAGAGTCGTTTATCGAAATCCGTTCACTTTTTACAGATTACAGAATAGCAACAACACGTAACGAAACAAGTCAATGCATTTTTTTATTATGCATGCAAAGCTGTGAGAATGAACCAATTAATAATACGTCTTCGTGTCTCAATGTCGTAGGTTATTTTGACCCAACTATTGCCGGAAGTGCAACAAGAGAGACAATCCTCCGGAGGTACGTAGAATATTTGACTAGACTTCAAATGGGGACTTCGGTTCTCGTTCTTCCTAAGGATCTTATTGTGAGCCTAACACGCGTACTGAAACACTTAAATCACGAGTGAGTAGGGAGTAACTCACACACTAAAGAGCATACTTACATTTCGCACTTATTGCTTGGACTTTGACTAAGCCTATGAGAGTTCTCGCATGATAAATGGTCACGCGTGCCTTTCTCAAAATCAATGCTGTAAAACAAATGCGAAAAAACTTTTTTGTTTTATGTGAGTTGTAAGTTGTAAGTGAGCGCAATAAATAATGGATCCAGTCAGAACAACATTGATCCAGGTTTTTTGTTTCTCAATTCTGCGTTGTTTTTCAAATAAGTATGGAATTCTTATGCCCAATATTTCATTTAGGCAACGCTCTGAAGATAATTTGGTTTGGACTATCTACCGACTTGCAGTATGACATCGATGAAGCGTGCGTTTTACTTATCGTTATCAGCAATCAGCAAGATAAGTGTCAACGACAGGGATTTTCATCCCTGTTCAAGACGTTTCTGATTCGCATGCTAGAGTGCTTGTACGACAGTTCAAAAAACTTGTTGGATAACGTCGCGACACGGCCCGTACGTTCCTATCTTCTTCGCAACGAACCGAAATCATAGTTTCCCAATGGACAAAATACGTAGGACGATGCATCGCAAAGCATGGTGAATGAGGGGGATGCAAATGCTGGTGGTGACAATAATCATGGCCATGGCACAGATGCCGATAAAGARATCTACATTTCTGACCATTCCCGCTCGATGCGAAACGCATATGACCACTGCATCAAGCTGTTTTGTGGGTTGGAAGCGACGAACGAGAAAAATAGTCCACCTTGCGATACGAGCACAGGCACGAACAAAAGGACAACGCGTCCAATTCATAGAACAAACAGAACTCTGCAAACCCTATTGAAGCATAGATACGGCAATGTCTGCAATAACATAGGAATAGAGTTCGAAGAGCACCGGAATCGACGAGAGGAGGCGTACCGGAATTTTTGGTCTTCTCCCCCCGCCCCGTTTGCTGCTACCGACCAAYCTGCTGCGCAGAGGTCTATCGCAATTTCTAGCGATGTCGCAACAGAACCAAACACGCCCGTTTCGCCAACCATCGAGACAATGTGGGTTCAGCTGGCGAACAACGATAAAAATCCCGACGGACAGCAAACCGCTATCTGCCCGAATCAAGTGCGCTACTTTCAAGATCGTTTCCAGGACCTAAACATCCCGTGCCTGATCAAGGGCTTGGATCGATTACCCCATTACGAGTATGTGAACCAAAARTGGAGGATTGAATCCTCCCGCACAGGTTCTTCYGGCGGAGAAAAGACGGACCAATATGATTTATTTGYTCAGAACCAGMAACGACTGCATGCCAAMAACCAAGAGGAAAACACGGTTGCAAAGGTCAATCGACAATGGTTCCGAGACGAACTCGGGGAAAACTTGCTCGTACCGCTTCGCTACATTCCACCAAACGACGATGACGCCCCAARCTATGGTACATTGAACTCGGCCTTGATGCTCGACGAAGACGGGCGGGCCGTAGAATGCGAGACTCRGGAAGTATCCATGAAAGAATGGATCGACTCGCTAGAACAGATGGACCAAAACCGTCAAGCCGGCGGTGTCAAACCGAAGGACGGAGCCCGYCCTCGAGATGACAACAACATCCAAGGTTATTTCAAGGGAGGAGGACTGAACACAACAATATATTATCTCAAAGATTGGCATTTACAACAACAGTTTCCGTCAAAGTTATCGAAGCCACCATGTGATAGTGATATACCGTCATTAGTCTCCCGAAGCAATCTTTCTTGCGAATCTTCGCTGTATCGCTGCCCAGAATTCTTTGGACACGACCTGCTGAATTCGTTCCTCATAAGATTCACAAAGGGTGACTATCGTTTTTGTTACTGGGGCCCCCCTCGGTCTTTTACAGCAAGACACTCCGATGTCTTGCATTCCTTTTCGTGGAGTTACAATGTTGTGGGGACGAAGAAATGGACCTTTTATTGCAACGAAGATTCTAATTTGGATGGCAAAATGAACGAATTGGATTCAGAGGATACCAATACATGTGAGGAAAAAAACACGAAGACTTTCTCAATCGTTCAAGAGTCTGGGCAAACTATTTTTGTGCCAGCGACATGGCAACATCACGTGGTAAATCTAGAGGAAACAATTTCGATCAACCACAACTGGATTACTTCCTCCAATCTAGACCTTGTGTGGGATTGCCTTGGGGTGGAGATGGCAGCGATTCAAAAGGAACTAATAGGYTGGGGCAGCGGTATGGATGAAAACATGGAGGCGTGCGAAAACATGCTCCGTGGGTGTCTTGGGCTGGACGTCACTAGCTTTGTCCTGATGACACTCGTTCGGGTGCTAGAGATATATGTGGTTCTGGTTTTTGAAGAGGATRGCGGCTCTTTGATTGCCGAGGACCAAGAACGCGAACGACTCTTTTTCGACTTGTTTCTATTGACTTCGGTTCTTCGAGATGTGCTGGCGACAAAGGATGACTTGTTGCAGCTGAAAAATAGATTTAGTGCCGTCCTTGAGTCGAATGATCTTGCTCAAAACCTTCAAAGCATGGTAGAAAGTGTGATTGATTGGGAGAAAGTGCTAAATATCTAAGGTTTTGARWTGAAAATGCTAACTAGACAAGTGCATGCCTTTCAAGGCAATGTGCGGTTCCAATATGCAAATAATACGGTACTAGTTATCAAGACATCAAATCAAGATTGTTTGCGTACTGTGCGATGCAATGGATCTAATCTAGGTTGCKCACAGGACGAAGCAGTCTGGCCATTGAATGCGATTTGATGTTGTGTTGAAAGTGCCAGATGACAACAGCGGCGAAAGCAATCATAAGATCCCGGCGACTCGTCTTAATCTAGATCGTCCAAAAATTCATCGTGGTATTCATACTTGCTTTTCCCCTYTTTGATGGTTTGGGCTTCTCGAAATGACGCCTGGCGTTCCAGGAACTGCTCGTCCCGCTTCCGGCGTTTCTCGCTCAAGCGTTGCCTTAGATCTGCAGAGTTGTGCCCACCTCCCAGGTGGCCGTCATCTTTTCTTTTTTCGTCATCGATTAGTTCCAAGGCATCCAATAGCTGAAGTGTAAGACTGTTGAGCCGYTCCGCTTCTGCATCATCCTTMTCGCTACGAACGCTTACAAACTTTTCACCTCTCGATTCAACGTGCTCATTGCCGAGGGCAACATCCCTGCGATCGTCTAGCCAGTCCACGAGCTTCTCAAGCGTATCCGTAGATGGTTTCTTGGAACGAAGTCGCTCGACAATAACGGACTTTTTGTTAATGGCTGTCTCAGGTTTCCCGATATCTTCGCCCTTGGTTCCGTCGTAGAAGAGGTGGTTGACCAGTGTGCCGAGGCGGGTTTCGCGATCTGCCTTCTTGTCGGCCAATTGTTCGTGAACTTCTTTCTCGGATTCCTCGGCTTGGGCACGCAACTCCCTCGCCATTCGCAAGAGTCTCTCGACCTCCGTCTCTCCAGTACTGCTGCTACTCATAGACAGTCCCCGYTGGTTTGAAGTGGCACGTTCGCCGGCTACGACGTTCCTGGAAGTTGTACATGCTGGCACTGTGAAGGCGGTGGTTTTCGCTGCCCGTGCCATCAAAGACACAAATAGTAGGAATGGAAAACTCCTCATTGTATAAGACGTCATGGTAATAGGAGTGCACCTACCTGTAGTTGAAATTAGACAAGTAAGTAAGAAAGTGAAGAGAGGGGGTCTTCTGGTCTTCCTTTGGTACGGATCCGTACGGTAGTTTTGGTAGTAACAACTATGATGAACCAACAATCAACGAATCTGAAATATTGAATTTTATTGGATCATTCCCGAAAATGCTGACAACTGACAGCGGAAAGCACCTGCAACCAGCAATCAACACTTTTTCTACAGATCTTGATGTCTCAATCGTAGAACTCCAGCATTCAATACTACTACCTTACCTTACTATAAAACCGGACAGACGTATCGTGTCGTAAGTTATCAACGTTTGAAACTTCTCGAAAGCTCGACTTCTCGCTGAGAAGTCTATCTTCAACATTCAAAGTAAGATTGTTAGGGAACGGGTTAAGATTGGCTCGCTAACTCAAATATGTATCGTAGGTTCGACTAGGTTCTACGGTGCAAAAAGCAAGCGAGGGGTGCAAGGGTGAAAAGAACTGGTTTTGTAAAGGTAGAATTTGACTGGGGAAGAAACAAGAGTTTAATTGTTAAACAAGAGTTTAATTGTTCACTTCATGTAAAATATTTCTGATACACTCTTTTCTTTTCAATATTTTGGTGAAAATATTGAATTCGTACTTTCATTGTTTCAAAAACTGCTAGTACTATCTCCCTGCTACTGTACTACTACTAGTAGTACTAGTACCTGTGAGGACAATCAACAAGCAGTAATGATACTCTGTATTCACTGTAAAAACAAAAAAGTTGTTGGTATATTTGACCTCATGAATCAGGGAGGTGCGAGAAAAGGCAGAATCACTGCACAGTGGCAACATGCTCAATATCACCATGCACAATACTGCAAGTAACACCACGTGACTACTAACGTCTTCAATGTTTAACCCCTTTAGCCTCCTCAAGATTGCTCGGTGACAGTGAATCCAACAGTATTTTCAGTCACAATTGGCAATGTTGAGACATCAGTCTTTGAATTGGATCCTTCCCAGTTAGCACTGTCAAGCAAAAGATGTTGCAAATATYCCTTTGAATCARCTCTTTTTCCAAYATAGACATAATTATCTTTGTTTTCCAAGACAACAGTATATCTTTTAATCAAGTCCGGAATAGCAGTAGAAGATGTTCCATACAATGCAGATTCACCCATATTTGATTCCAAAAGCGTCCCACCGGCGAACAAAATGGCTGATAGAAAAACATAGTCATCAGATTCTAATGAAGATGTATGATATATAATCAAATTATCTCCACTTGTAGCTAATGCGAAGCCTCTGTCCATTTCGGAAGTCCAAGAAGATCCGTAAAGTAGCCCTTCTCCATAACCGAATATTGTACCTGCTGCAATGGTTTCTGGCAAAGTCAAACTGATAGTTCCTTCATTCGATGCCAATGAGTGCCCATCGTAGGCGTTGTCTGTTACATGAATCACCAATCCAGCTGGCAGATCAACGAATGTTACGAGAGCAACCATATCAGGATTGTCAGTGTGGACTCCCACAACCATTACATCCCCCGGTATTGGCAATTTTACCTCTGTGAGTTCTTCAACAGTACCAGTACTGTTGTCGCTATAGAAGCCATCATCCGTGATTGTTTCTGAAGGGGTCCCATGTATAATTTTTGCTAGATCGGGAAAGTCCACAAATGGATTGCGGTTCCCTTGCCAGCGGGAGCATGCGCGGTCGTTCCGTTTCCGTTCGTAATCCGTTGGTGGATCGAGATCGTGCCATGCTAGAAGTGTTGAAAGGTAGGCCATCTGGTTGGTTTTCTCGGGGTCTAAAGAATCCGTAAGCTCTAAGTGGGGATAACGGAGTTCCATGTAAAAAATGGCCCGTGCTATGTCTCCGCGAACTTCCAATGGAGGTTGGAATACTTCACCGCCAAACATGGGTGGATCGTCAATGCGTTCCAATTCCGTGGGAGGCCTACAGACATCCTCTTCGACAACATTGCAATTATCAAAAAATCGATTGTTTCGTATCGAATTCACACCCCAGTCTGCAGGAAACAAATGGTGTACATCCGTAAAGTCTGGTCCAGAGTAACCAACACCGCGAGACTTAGGCCAGACATGCTCTCGATTCCATGTATCAGGTGTTCCCTTGGGCTCCGCGGGAACATCTTTCTTGGAATAGATCAAACGAACCGTAGGTAATCCATTTAAGTCGATTCCTCGATCAAGATCTTTGAGTGCCTTCCATACATCGTCCGCATCGTTGTCGGTATAGGGCAAAACTTCTTTATGAGTCTCCTCCAACAGTTTTTGAAGCTCACTTCTAGATGAAAATGAGTTGATGCCTTTGTAATAAACACTCGGACTGCAGGGAGAAGACGACGGTAACCACTCCTCTCCCATCGCATCGGATGCTGTATATGCCGATGACGCATGTATTTCAGCTTCATCTCCAGTGACAACAGAAATTACGATCGCAGAGATGTATAAATATGAAGGTTTCCGTAACGGAGCGAAGCGCTTCATCTTGGTCTTAGAGTAATGCTATCCTTCTTCGTGCGTTATGAGTGGTAGGTCTCTCACAACACAGTCGAGTGATTTCTGATTTCTTATTCGCGGGTTGCTCGTTAGTTATTCTTGGTTTATTCGTGGGGTCACCTAACGAAC